CTCCGAGACCGCCTTCTGCCACAGATTACCTCTCACCGGCCGATACGCTCCCACAGAGAGGGTCTCCTCAGGGTGCCGTCAACCAGACAGTGTCGGTTGGCGACCCCCAGGGGGAGAGCCTTCTCTGTTGGAGCCCCCACCCTCTGGAACGAACTACCCCCAGAGATCCGGGTGATTCCGGATCTCCCCTCCTTCTGCCACGCCCTCAAGACATGGCTATTTCAGCTGGCAGGACTGGCCTAAGGGGATTTTAAATTTGGTTTTTAAATAACTTTTTAAAAAAGGATGAAAAGGCCCATATTAATATTTCTTTTTAACTATATTTTAAATTTTGTATATTGTATTGATTGTTGTGTTTTTTAAACTGGCTGTAAGCCGCCCTGAGTCCACCAGGAGAAGGGCGGGGTATAAATGTAATAAATAAATAAATAAATAAAATAAATATAAAATTGTATGGAAAAGATACAACAGGTGGAATGTGGGAAGGATTTTTTTTAAAAAAGTAAAATGCTTTCATGTTATTTTGAAAAGAAAAAAGGCATTACTACTGCATCCAAAAGTGAATATGCAAGAAATATTTGTCTATTTGACCTGAGATGTGTAAGTTCATGCATTTTAGTTAATTGTCTACATACTGTATGTTTTCAGTTCCTTAACTGAGCTAAATGACAGGTAAATTTTTCTACATCCATAATTTCTTGGTTTTATGATAAAAGCATACAAAAAGTTAATTTGTAGCCTTATTCAGTGTCTTGGATATTCAACGCTGTATATATATATATATATATATATATATATATATATATATATATATATATATATATATATATATATATATATATATATATATATATATATATTAACGCTGTATATATATATATATAAGACATGCTTTCTCATAGCAGCACAACTGTAGACTAGGTGGCTCTGTGATTTGTGGGGGCAAGGTCATGCCACAGATCAAATACCTATTGTATTGATCTCTACCCATACTGGTTTTACTCTATCCATATTGGTTTTACACAATAGTGAAATATTTGTATTGTTGCCAGGGAATTAAAACTCTGGACTTTTCATACATATACCAGTTATATTTTTACTGGAATCCCCTAATAAAGGATTTGTTCAAGAAAATCCAGTAGAATCAAAAGCTTGTGGTTTTCAGGATAGAGAAAAGAATCTAAGCTGGTTATAGAGGAAGTAGAATTAATGATGGTGTATTCTCTATTGAACAAATGCAGGGAATTGCTCCCAAAGAATTGAAGATACATAAAAATGCATACCTGTTTCCAAGTCATTGTCTAGCCAGCTAACTAATTTTCCAAATATCTTGGAGGCAAAATGTCCCAATTCTTAAATGGTGACAATACAAGATAGATTGGCTAACTATACAATAATGTTTGTTGTGCATAACAGGATCCACACTATTTCAATAATATTTCTTTTCTGATTATTCAGCTAGGTTTAGTTCAGTCTAGTAGTCAGCTTCCTCTTTGAAATCCACTGATTCCTTTGTTAACAATCAATTGAATTGCTTTTATTCCAATTTAGATTGATTTGATTCCAAAATCTATTATTATATTTAAGCACGGACAATGTTCTTCTTTGCTGGGCACAAAGAAAGCTTGTGGATGTCAGCTTAACTTGAAATTCAACCTAAGACTTCCAAGGCTTCATAATGCTTTCTAGCATGACCTCCCAATCTTTTCTGATGCCAGGATCACATTTACAGGATCAAAATCCTGTTCTCCCTGTCTCTTAAATTCTTTAGTCGCCTTATTTCTCTGTACAACTTTGAGACACCAGGCAGTATCTGATACTCATACAATTTTCTTGCCAAAACGTGCTTGCTTTCTTAAAGTGGTTTGTGCCCAGTGAATTTCTGATACTAGTTCTGAGTTGAATGGTCATGTTGAGCAAAGAACTGAGAGGACTGTGGGACCAATTATGAGTCAATTCAACCTACTCTATATTTAAATTATATTTTCTCCAAACCTGGCTAAGTCTCATTCTATTTCTTTAAACTTGCTATTATATGTATCTGAGTGCAAAATAATATATTATTGAACTTGCAATTTTTATAGAATAATATTTAGGAAGCTTTAACAAGTCTGAACTTCTTTTTTCTTTCATTTTTAAATTCATAACAATAAGCCATGAACCTACAGAAAATTTTGCCACACATTTTTCTATAATTAACTGTAATCTATCAAAAAATGAAGTCCTTTGTGTTTCCCTTGCTCTGGAACAAGAAAAGGGCCTTGACACTCTCTTATTAGTTTCCTTCCCTCCTCCAAATTATTAACAAGTTGCTAACGTCACTAGAACTTGAATTTCCCAGTATAGGTATTTCCACAGCTTCTTCTCACATGTTTATTTTGCAAGTGTTACATTCCTGCTTCAATTATCTTCATATAGTATGCTGCACAAGTGTATATTGCATTTATGAGTGGAATGCTTTGATATGATTCTATTAGCAGTGTTTCTATTAGCAAAAGCTGTTATGTTTTATACAATGGGAAACTGTCTCTCACTTTTCACAGGCTCACAGTCTATTTCAGACACTCTCTAAAGATTCAGAGCAGATTCAAAAGAGATGCAGGAGTTGTAGACCAAAGCCGCCAGTCCATTAATGGGCTTTGATTTATGCAAAGTTGGTTTTTACTTAATAATTTTGGATTTCAATGATTGTTCAATCTATTTCTCTCCATTTTTAAAGTATCTATTTTCCATCTCACTGCAGTTCAGAACATGCCTCTGTAAACCACACCTGTTTCATTCTATGGAAAGGAGAATGTATGGCAATCATGCTCACTATGCAAAACACATCCTGGGCTCTGTCCATACTAATGGCATATCAATACACATATATATGGAATTGGAATCAAGGTATGTTTATGAATTGGTCTGTTAGTGTTCAAGAGCCAAACTGAAACCTGTACAATTAAATCAGAACTAGAAACTAAATGGATGGCAACCTGGTGAATCAATTGAGCAACATTTGTTTTCTAATTCCTTTGTTCACATGGACAATCTATTGCATGATTTCAAACGTTATATAATACAGGAATGTATATTAGGTTCCTAACAACCAGCATGTAAGAAATTTGTGTCAATTAAACATTTGAGTACCCTTGGGAAATATTAATGCCTGGCTATGTTGCCAAGTTAATTACAGTTTTGAACTTGCAGCAAATCAACTCTACACAGGATTCTCTGCAATGTGTTATGGGTCTAAGTGTGACAGTTTTAAGGCTACCTTTGAATAACATGTTATTGTGAGATACTGATATTTTAATTAGATTCAGCTGGAACTTGGAAATCAGGTATCTGCCCATACAAGATCAATTGATCTCTAAGGGTATAATTTTCACAGCTGTTTTAAGATTCCACTGCACTACAATAATGTCAACAGTTTTAATTAATGTGTTTCTTATCAGTATAAATCATTTGTATGTCCCATTCACTTTTAATTAATATTGCCAGAGAGGGTCAGCTTTGCCATAAAACAGTGCAAATTATAGTATAGTGACTGTAAATTAATTTATTGATGAAAATTTGCTTTAGATCAATTCAATACTTAAATATCAAAGTTTATAGCATTTAATTCCCAATGCATTGATATACTCCTTAAAATATCTTTTTGTCGTAAAGTACATAAAGGAGCTTTGCACAACTGCATCCAATAATTTACCAGAAAATGGGAACAAGAAATTGAAGGAACATAACTGGGAGGGAGATGAGGAGTGAAATGTTTTCTTCATCCTCAAGAAAAAAACATAGTGGGTTTTCTTTTGTAGTTTTGTATACTTCCCAGAGTCCATTGAGTTGGGTAACTAATACATTTAAATAAAAATAAAAACAGTATGGGAACAGTCACCCTATTGGGTAGGTGTGCAGCATATACATTTAATAAATAAATGAATAAATAAATGAATGAATCGAATGTTGGATGTGATAAGCCTTTGGTCCTCTTCCAGTACCAGGCTTCTCATGTTTTTCACAATCTTCACTATTTACGTTACTTCTACCTTAACAACTGTTACGACAACAATCATTCTGGATGTCCATGTTTTTTATTGGGTTACTAGATAAAACAGGTAGTATCATCCAAACTGGAATACAATCATTATTTAATTTTTACTGAAAATATGTAAGAAAGAAAATATATGCAAAAATGAGTACAAGTTTATATTGATTTTTCCCTCCACAAGTAAGCTTATAAAAAATGAAATATAACACACTTTTGCCTTTTGTTTTAATTCTGTTTATGAATAAATTTGAATTTTGAAAACTTAGGAACACCACTTAAAAAAATCTATTCCTACATAGATGAATCTATCAGAGTTGTTTTCCCTATAATTTTTTAAAACTCCCTTTAATTCTTTCCACTCTGTTTATGAAAAAAACTTGTGAAATTTTGGTTAGGTTGAATTTATTTAGTTATCTTTAATGCTAAAAGAAGAAGGAAGGAAGGAAGGAAGGAAGGAAGGAAGGAAGGAAGGAAGGAAGGAAGGAAGGAAGGAAGGAAGGAAGGAAGGAAGGAAGGAAGGAAGGATTCCAATTGTACTTACATACACATCTGTTATCATCTGTAAGTATGCGGTCACCCCTGCATGAACAATTAACATGCCCATCAGGTGTCAGCAGACACAAATCATGACAGCCTCCATTCATTTGGGCACAAGGGGATAATTCACCTAGTGGGGAAAAAAGATTGTATAATAAAAACAAGTATCAATTTGCATTAGAACAGCTGGTTTCAATATTTATGATCTCTTAACGTAGCAATGCCAGTACATTACATGATATGACTGCATTTTGGACAAGTTGCCGTTTCCAGATGGTCTTCAGGGTTTATATATGTACAATACATTGCACTAAACAACTCAGAAGTGAGTTATTGTGAACAGTGGCTCCTGATCCAGGAATGGTGCAATTGTTATACAAAATGAAATTTTGCAAAAGCTCTTTGCAAAAGCTCAGTTACAATCTACAGGTAGTCCTGTACCAGTCACCTTGCGACCGTTCAAAGTTACAGTGGACCCGTAAAAGGGCACTTATGATCTAGATCTGAAGTTCTGATGATTTCCTCCTCTCCGTAGTCTCATGATTGCAGTTTGGGTGCTTGGCAACATTGCTGCATTTCACTTAAGACTGTGGTATTTATTCTACAACTGTGTTTGCTTAACCACCATAAAGTCATAAAAGTCATAAAATGAGATCAATTACATGACTGACCCATTTTATGACTGTTATGACATGATTATAATGGACCGGCTCCATTATGGTCATAACTTGAATAGGAGCCATGAGTCCAGAAGAATACCCAGATTGTACACTGGTATTGTTTGTTACCAAAGATGGACCCCTAAACCGCATAGCCACTCAATCTTGCCAAATTTAAATTGAAGCTTGTTCTTCCTTATCCAGACTCACATTGTCTCCAGACACTGAAACAAAACTTCCACAATAACCCTTGGTCAACCTTTGAGGAAATATAGAGCTGGTTATTTTCATCATATTCATGATACTTCACACCATGCTATAGATCAGTGGTTCTCAACCTTTTTAATGCCGCGACCCCAACCGGTCGTAAGTCGAGGATTAAACCGGTCGTACTTTGAGGACTAAACCGGTCGTAAGTCGAGGACTACCCAACCGGTCGTAAGTCGAGGACTTTCCCTGCCCGGGAGCGCTGCGCATGCGTGGTTCCTCCCCCTGCGCCGGCCGAGGCGTAGCTGAGAAGCGGCAGAGACGGAGCAGGCCGACCACCAGCTGGCCCAGCCCAAGGGAGGCAAGGCACCCGCCGGAAAAGGGGGGAAAAATGGCGGACAAAAAAATGGCGGACAGCCTTGCTTGGCGACCCCCATGAAATGGTCGATCGACCCCAAATGGGGTCCCGACCCATAGGTTGAGAACCACTGCTATAGATGATCTCACCTAGTGGCTTCATTAAAATTTTAAATAAGATATCATTAAACCCTGAGCCTCCCCTCCCCTGCAAAAAAGGACTGTATGCTAAATCTGTCTTTCTATAATTGCAAACTAGAACTTGTCTTGGGAAAAGCAGAAGAACCAATGCAAAATTGTGACACCCCCCCCATTCCTAGTTTTGGGAGGTGTCCAGAAGGATAGAGTGACTGAAGTATTAAAAGCTACCAAGAATAAAGGAAACCCAAGATGGACACAGTATCCACATCCCACTCCCATCAGAGGTAATCCATATATATGATCAATGCCATATTGGTTCTGTGCCCAATATGAAACCTGACTGAAAAGGGTCCAGATAATCAATTTCCTCCAGGATTCTTTGAAGTTGCAGTTCAACCACCTTCTCAACAACCTATCCTATGAAGGAAAGAATGGAGTTGTTGTTCAAACAACGGCTTCTTAAAGACAGGGTAAATCACAGCCTTTTTAAACAGTAGTGGGACACCCTCCCCCAATCTTTCAAAGATGAATTCACCACTGCAAAGATCATGCATGTCATCTCTTTGAAAACTTTTACTAACCAGGAGGGGCATGTGTTCAACACAGAAATGGCTGAGTTAACAATGCCAAGAACCCTGTCCATTTCATTAAAATCAAGAAAATCAAGCTCAACCCAGATAACCAAATCAGACTGAACCAGTCACTTCCATGGAATCAGCCTCAAAACCAGAGTCAAGCTTGAAGCAGACCCAAGTGACTTAATTGACAGGTGTCTCACATATTTTTCATAGTAGCCCTGAAGGAAAATCTCCAATTCAACCTAGAATATACAAAATGAAAAAGTCCACAAATGATATCTGAAGCAAAACTAGATTGCATGCTAAACAACTTACTACTTCTCTTCGGATAAGAGAGAAATAACTGAAAGGCAACTGAAGACTGTTCAGAGACGGAAGAGACAACATATTATCTGTGTCAAAGAGTAAATATCAGGAAATACTCTTCCTTTTTTCTTCATCAGTGTAACAATGGTAATCTAAAGCTCCCTATGAAATATGCTAACTTCCACTATGGTAGAACTAAGGAGACTTCCAATATAATATATATCTTAATTATTTTAACAGAATTATCAATAAATATACATGAAATAGATATAAATTATATTGCAAAGAAAAAGACATGGTTAAGTTCCAAATTTGAAACAGGGATGAAATAGTTTGATGAATTTATGTGATTTGTATGGTAACAGGCTTTTTATATAACAACAAAATTTGCTAATTTGGAAGGGGGATTTGAATATGAAATGAAATGTCAATACATTAAGTGAAATGACTGATTAATTTGGACCATAGTTGGAAATAATGAAAGTATACCTAGTGAAAAATATAAAAATATCTTGGATGATCTGATAAGTGATAATTATGAAACAGTAAGGAAATCAGATAGCTTGAAGCAGGTGGCAATTTTTAATTACACACTTGCCCTTGTTACTATGGCATTATAACATATTGAATACAGGGATACAAATTATCTTGTTAGCCTGCTACCTTGGGAAAGAGATGGGTAGAGGTGCTTTTCTCTAACAGGAAATTGGAGCCAATGGATGGGTATTGAAAATACTTTTCATCAAAATTCCCACAGATTTCACATTTCAAGCAAGGGACAAATCTGAATACTTTTTCAAGAGAACATGCTTTCTCATCCAGAAAAATAACAATTTGGAAACTGTTTCAAATTAAGATTGTTACTTCTTTGATAATTGTCTTTTTTCTGTAATAAAAGCTATATATCTAAAAGAGAACAGTATAATGAACTGCAAAAATAATCCTTTTACTGATTTTTTTTTAAATCTACCAGTAAAGAAATACTGATGTTGTACTTGGTAACTTACAGCTGTTAGTGTCATTAGCAACAGCTATGATGCCCATAGGTTGATGTGGGATATCAGATCTAAGAATTTTTGTATCTCCACCTGTATATTTATTGGATCGCAGTATAGCTCTTCTCACCCAGTCTGTCCAGAAGATCCAAGCATCGTATACAGCTAGACTGAGAAAAGTGCCAGGTCCAGATTTGACTATCACCTGATTAGAAAAATAAAGGGATTAAGTAAATGTAAAATTATCTATTTTCCAATATTTCTGTTTTATTTTAATGTGGAAACCTTCATAGTGAAAGAATATTTGATTCTATATTAAATTAATTGAATATCACTAGAATATGTGAAATTAACTTATAGTAGCAATAACAAGATCAGATAAAAAGAAATGATAGATAATGGTTCAGAACACAGCTGTTTTTCAGTATCTTGTCATGTATAATCTAAATATGGAAATACTTCATCTGTGAAGTAGAAAACCTATCTGTTTTGAGCAAAAAAAATACACGGAGAAATATCAGCTAATTACTAATGACTCTAAGTGGGAATTAATTAAAAAGAATTCCTGTATGTGAAATCTTTCCCATTTGCTGGTTACTAAAAGGAACCCTCCATCTTGAGGGTATGCAAGCCACACTTGAATGGGAAACTATCTCATGCCATTTACCTACCCTGCCTATTAAAACTCTTTTGCGTACTATATTCGACCTACAACTGTGACGGAGCCTGACCATTACAGTTGTGATGGCCATTAAGTGAAGCATATCACCCAAATTTATCTTTTTGTTTTTTGCAGAGGAGCCTTGCTGATGCAATGTAAATCTCAGCTTTCTTAGAGAGACTGTTAGGTTCATGGCAACCTTGTGCTATTCTCCTAGAAAGTAGCACTTCCTATGAGACTGTTTTTTAAGGAGGATACATTTGTTTATGGAGTTGTGGAGCCTCCTTAAAAACAGAATCCTTTACAGTCTCATGAGAAGTACTTCTTGCTAGGAGAATAACATGCGGTTGTCAAGAGACAGGCAGCCTCCTTAAAAAAGCTGAGCCTCCTATTGCATGGCATCGGCCAGGCTCCTCTGCAAAAAATGAAAGGTAAGTTGAGTGCTGCTGGGCCCTGGATCTGGGTGAGGTACAGGTTGAGTCTTGCAAGTAGTCCAAGACCTCCATGTGCTCATAGCTTCTCTAGGCTCCCTTGTGTGGCTGAGTGGCCAGTTTAAGAGTATGCCAAGGCTTGGTGAAATCTTGAGGGGCACAGGGAGGCCTTGGGAGGCCCTGCCAGGATCAGGCAGGATGGGCGGGAGAAAGTTGGGGGGCTGTGCTGCTGTATCCCTACAGTTGGCCATAAGGGTGGCTATAACTTTGAACCTGGGTCATATCTTTTTTTGAGGGGGGTATGTCATAACTTTGAATGGTAGCTAAGTGACCAGTAGTAGGTCAAAGACTACTTGCACCTGTTTTCTAGGCTCTATTAGGAACCATTGTATGCTGTTAACACAATATAGCATATACACAATTTTTGGATATATGAGGATGAAATTACATTGTGTTTGTATGTTAAAATTCACAATAAAATTATATTTCACATGTGAACACTTTGATAACATAGAATTTAAAAAATATAATTATCTGGTCATTACTATACAGAAATTATATATATATGTTTTCTGAGGTTTTCGCGGGTGTTTGTATGTAGGTCTTTAGTTATTCGGGTTTTCTCCCGCGTAGAATTAGAAGTGTCTTGGNAATAACTAAAGACCCATATTAATAGAAAATCAATTTGTGCTAGTGAGATTGAAGGATAGAAAAATTATAGCATAAGCATTAAACAGATTTATTATAACAACAAGAACCTCAAATTACTATTATTATTCTTTGTTTATACTGTAATAAGGATGCAAAAAATAAATATTACAGTTATTTATTTATAGAAATATCAATATATTACTAAAAGTTAGTTTTATGATCTTACATTTCTGTGTGATCCATCATATTCACACCTTTCTATTTTTCCCAAACTACCATCGGAAAAATACAGTTTCTCAGCCCTATGATCCATGGCAAGTCCATTTGGTGTTAAGAGGTCAGTGCTGATTACAACTTGTGCATTTTTGCCATACAATGTAGCTCTCATGATGCTTGGATGCTGCTCATTCCAGTTAGTCCAAAACATTAAACTTAAAGCAAAACATAATTTCTATGTTAAAAATACATTTCACCTACAAATAATGTACATAATATCAACAAGTTGCAAACTAGTGTTTCATGGAGTGATACTAATAAAAAATAAAGGTACGATAGAAGACCATATTTTGTGAGCTATAGACCATCGATTGGCAAATACTGTACAAGGGAAAATTTGAGAGCACAGAAGTTTGGTAAATGTAAGGAAAAATAATTATTATTTTATATTAAAATGCTCAGAAATAACTTAACAGCTACTTTTGTGTGTTTGTGTGGGGGAAAAAATCATCTAATGTCCAACATTCAAGCACTATAGCAAAATGTCACTCTTGCCATCACTCTTTGGAGAACTATTGGAAATAAAAAACCCTAGTGGATTGATCACAAAGTACATAATACTTCATTATGAATTCAATTTCTACCTAGCATGGTTATAGAATGATATGGATGAATAAATAAAAAATAAGTGAAATCAGATCTTGCTTAAGCATCCTGTATTAATGGATAACTCATTCCCTGACCAACATGATAGAATATTTTTATATGAAACAAATACTAATGAAACCAATAGAAAAACACTATTCTAATAATCAACAGAATGAAAGAAAACATTTTGACTGTAATCCCAAAAGGTACCTTTTTGTATCACACTTTTGAAAACAATGGCTCAAGAAAGAAGAAAGGAAGTCATATGTTCACAATACAATTGTTAGCAGGAATGTACGTAACCAGTAAAAAATGTAGGAATATGATACCTACTTTTGGCATTCATCAAGGACTAATACATGTGGGTGATCATCTTCAGACATCGTTATTACTGCTTCTCTGTTGAAAGCACCTCTTCGTTTCTGATCAACTGTGTGCCTTGTAATAGAAGATGTAGTAGAGCTGGTCCAGTACAAAGTATCCCAAGCCCTATGATATGCTAGACCCTCCACAGATCCAACATCTGTCACAGCAGATCATTAAATACATGTTTTAATTAAGAAAAATGTATGAATGGCACAATAAAATATAACTTAATATTTAAATTCATGTTTTATACAATATAAAATTATGTTATCCTATAAATTGTAGGATAGTATTATCTGATTACAGTGGTACCTTGGTACTCAACTGCTTTAAACTCATCGAATTTGGTACTCAATATATTTTAACATGAAAATGTTATCCTGGTACTCATCATTTGTTTGGTACTCAATGAACAAACTAGAACTTGTTGGTGTCGGCTGCCTTGTGACTCACTATATTATTCCTTATGGGGAAAAAAATGTTGGTACTCACCATTTTTAGTACTCATTGCACCTCCTGGAACCAATTAACTATAAGTACCAAGATACCACTGTATATCAATTTCACTGCATACTATTACAATAAATGTGCTACATTTAAAAGATCTTTGATTTATACCAATTAATATATAGAAGATTAATTATAAATTTAAATCTCAGAATGGCAATATTTTATTCCTTGGTGAATAAAACAGAAAGGCAGGTGAGATATGCCATCAAGTTTTACAGTCTCTGAGAAATCAATTTTGTAGGTTAACCATTTTTTCACCTAGGATCTGTGGAGCTATTGTGATTGCTTTTGTTAACAGTAAAGATGGAATTGTAATCTTATGCAAAGGATTATGGGGAGTGGTGGAGGGAGGATAATGTTCTCTTGCAGAATATGCATACTAAATGCTGACTATGGACATAAGAGAAGTGTGGGACAAAAATTACCACAAACCAAGAAATTAGCACATCTTCTAAATGCCATCAATTAGATACCTGCATGTGCACAAACACACTTAGGTCACAAGCAAAATCAAAACACTGAGGGCAGTCACTCAATGCACACAGCACTCTTTATATGCATTCGATCTTGTTCATGAAGCAATAGGATCTTCAATTTTCAAGTGACTAGCATATTTAAATGAAATATGCACAAATGAAATATAATATACAAACACATTATTTGTCTCTTGCTTGACAATCTGAATTTAATCAGTAATATAGCATGTAACTGATTAATTGTCTACCAAACAGAAAGGAACAGCTTCTGATTTACAGAAATGGTAGAAGAGTGATCGCATCATACATGCCAAATGTCACCTATCACTTATATTGAACTTAACAAAGATGGATTACATCGCATTAAGAAACACCCTATAAATATGATGTTACTCTTCAGTTGACTTCCCTGGAGAACAAAACAGCAAAAGATAAAAATCAATAGCTGGAGAAATTTCTATTCCTATGCTGAATATTGTAATATAAAATAACTGAAAAGTTCAGGTCAAGGCAATGGACTCTTTGATAACTGGTTAATTTTTTAGTATTTCTTCTTTTTAAAATTTCATCAAGAATTTTGGACTCTAAAATCTTATTTTTTTTTCTCACCGTTAGCATTGACATTTGACATATCATCTTTATTTTATTATTTCATTAAATGATTAATTAAAATTTATTACTATTGGAAAGTTCATACATTTTCAACTGAGTCATGGTTTTTAAATATATTCCTTGTTTATTAACCTTATCTTATTTAGGGGCTGGCTAAACCAGCTTAAGATCAGAAAATTTATATCTGTGAGTCAATTCCATTGCTTCAGTTCCAGCCATGAATTTCTGCAGATAGGAGGGGAAATGACTTTACAACATTGCAGTACAAACTTCACTTTTGTATTTTAATCATGACATCTTACAAAATTACTAAAAATTAGACATGGCTTCATGATATTACAATGCACAATTCATGATATAAATAAAATCATGGCATTTTGCCAACGCTTCTAGCTCCAGTATAAAACTTTTTACAGGGCAACTTTGTTATATGTTCCAACTGTGTCAGGGAAGATGTAATATTATCAACATTTGAACAATTATTATGTAGAATATTTGCTAATACTGAATGTTTAAATCTATTGGATTTAATGGACTAATAGAATATGTAATAGAATATGAAGCATGCAGTGCACTGAATGCCACTCCATCTATTTTTGAAGATGTTGCATCTTTGTTGAACACTTACTTGCTGTTCTGTTTATTGTGTTCATTCTCTGTATTTATCCAATTTATTATTTTAGAAACAATCTGTTAATTATTTTATTTGGCAGAACTCTGGAAATGAGGTTCTTTTCTAACCATTTATTTATACAGAATATGTGTAACAGTGTAACAGTGGCTATTATTGGTAACTGGAATGAAAATAATGTTTTGAAAACTATAATCCATATGAGGATACATTTTAATAGCTCACATTTATTATAAATGGCACAATGAGGCCCTGATTAGTTTTTTGCTTTTTCATAGATTTCCTAAGGAAGCACCAAGTCATTAATGACAAAAAACATATTTAAAAATATATAAAAATAAGCACTAAACAATTTGTTGATTGGCAGTTAGCGTATCTGATTTAGATCCTTATTGAAAAATTAAAACATATTACTTTTGTAAGGGAATATTCACATGTAGTTTGTAAAATTAAAAAAGTGATCTCAAAGTTGTTAGAATATTGAATATACAAAATCATATACTTTTCCCAAATATTTATTTTATCACATATTATCCAAGAAAGCTAAAGCCTGACTAATTTCTTTGACTTCTGGCCATGCATTCTCAGAAAAATCATTTGAAAATTGGTGTTTCAACTGAATATAACTAAATTATATTAGCTACCAAATAGGTAACCTTTCATAAATGGAATGCAGGTAGCCTTTGAGTTATGCCCAAAATGAAGCCCAGAATTTCAGTCATAAGTCACTATCCAATGGGTGGGGTTTTTTGCCATTTTCTGTTGGAAAATAGCAACAATTTTTTTAAAATTGTGATTACATGACTGCAGGATGCTGCAACCAGTCATGAATGTGAGCCAGTTGCCAAGCTTCTGAAATTTGATTAAATGATCATAAGGTATGTGTGTGTGTGAGTGAGTGTTTGTGTGTATGTGAGGCAGTCATAATTTCAAGAATGAATCAAAATTAGCTTTTTGGAAGTCCATTATAACTTGAAACAGTTGTTAAGCAATTGGTTGTAAGTTGAGGAGTTCCTGTAGTTGCTTTTGTTTGTGTCTCTGGATATAAGGTCTTAATTAATCATACAATATTACTTTTTCTCTTCTACTTCATGAAACTCTTAACCAACTTGTTATTCAGTTTATTTTATAGGATCAATTCATGTTCTTTTCTTTTTAAATCTATTAATCCATCACCTATCATATTTCAACTGCTTTTCTCCTTAGTTCCCCCCCTCCAGTTAAATTTATTAGATTTATCACTGACTCACCCCACTCTCTGTCTTTTTTCCCTTCCCTTTTTTTCCTCCCCCTTTTGGAAAACCTTCTTGATTAACCTGTTAGTCGTTGTTTCATTTAAGTCCCTATATTATTTAAAGAAAAGTTGTATGAAATATCTTCCTTTTACTTGGCCAATTTAGCTTTACTAACATGCTGCCAAAAAATCAAGGGTAAGGGTAGAAAGATATTTCTTATTCTACTGGTGCATGTCCAAAGCAGCTCAAAGTTCCCTATGGTACAGATTTTATAACCTCATAATTTTTAATATATCTGTAACTGCTGTGAAATCTAGAATATGCTTTGGAATTTTGCATTTTATGTTTATTTTTTGTGAATTTTTGTAGCGCTGTTTTATGCTATAAATTGGCCTAATTGCTTAATAGGAACCAAAAAAAAGCACACAAATTTAATAAATATTACAACAAATAGATAAATAACTCTTCCTTGATCTTCACTGTACTCATCTCACATTCATTTTGTGGAAGTATTAAAAAGTGAAAAGGTTCTTGAACAGGAGTTTGTGAATGTAATGATAAACTGTTGTAAATATCCATAATAAAAATCCATAACATAAATCATTTAATGAAAAAACATGATTATAAATAATCTTCAATAAGTGGAGAGTTATGTTGTATGCCACTCTGTATTAAGAATATAGTCCTGGTGGCACAGTGGTTAGAATGCACGATTGTGGGCAAACTCTGCCCACAGCCAGGAGTTCGATCCTAACAGTCTCAAGGTTGAACTCATCCTTCCATCCTTCCAAGGTTGGTAAAATGAGGACTCAGATGAGGACTCCTATGCTGATATTGTAATCTGCCCAGAGAATGCTATAAAGAACTATGGAGCAGCACAGAAGTACTGTTATTGCTATTGCTAATTGTTCCCATGTAGCTCTAATTTTTTTACGTACAAGTAGTGTACCTGAACCACCAAAAAAGCTAAACAAATAAAAGTAATATAGAATAATTTTCTGTATATAGAAAAATGAAAAAAAAAACACCAGTTATTCCCCCCTTTTCTTTGTTGAAAATGTCATTTTTTTCTTTCAATCATATTTCTTTAAAATTCTACATTTACTTCATGAATAATCATGAAGATGGTTTGGAAACAGAGTTTGCACACAGATGTTGCAGCCAGAGTATTAAGTGGAATTGCTAAAGAATAACACTGATCCTTGAAGGCTTCATTAACTGCTTATGTTGGCATTAATGTGTAAAGCCTTCAACAGCCACAGGAGCTAAGGGCTTCCAGTGAGGTGATTAGGGAAAAGGTATTCAGATTATACCTTGATTATAACATTCTCTATCAAGAGAAATACATCTTCTCCCCAAAGTTCCGAATAACAAGGGTTCTAAGACTGCCTTTCAAATTAATTTTGCCTCAATTGTGTGGATCTGCCCTGAGTCTAAGTTAGGATATGAGTCTCACTCTTCTTCAGTACAATGAAATGGCTCTTCAAGGAATCCAGATGGGGCAAACTGACTTGACCAGCTGTTTATTTTGCAAAGGGGAACTTCTGTACATGTGCTAGGCATGCCCAAAAGCTGACTCTCAAATGAAATAAATTGGCCATGTTGCTGATTCAAAATGGGTCCTTCATTTGAGTGAAGCAATCTTTTAAAGATCTACAAGGGTCTATAGATAACATTATATTTCTACATTTTT